CTTGACACCGCAGACATGCATGAGGGCGGCAGCCGGGAGAGTGCGAATTTGGATTCGTATATGGGAAGGATGTGGACGAGGAGTTTGGTCATTGAGATGGTTTTGTTGTTGATGTTGTTGATCCTGCTCTTTTCAACCCCCTTTTTATCCCGGGAAGTTTATTGTGATGCTTGAGTTGGAAAGCTTCGTCTTGAGGGGGGATGAGTGCTAACTTTCGTTGCTTTTTCCTGAGCTTGTCTGTGAAATGGCTCAGTCTCTCCCGCTTTGTGGCTTGCAGTGGTGGTGTGCAAGCCCAGCAGACCGAAGCATATTTGCGCAGTGGCGCGGCTGGGTTGCATATTCTCATGTAAGGGGGGGAAGTTCAAAAAGTGACGAGATACGGAAAGAGAAGAAGCCGGATCTGTGAGTTTGAACTGGCATAAAGATCGTCAACACAACATTAAAACTGTGCAACAAGAGAAGGATTTTCTGTCTCTGGGTTCAATGTGCAGAAGTTGTGGTTTTGTTTGTGATGTGTTTCGGGGGGTTATATAAAGGCGTGAGAATGCCCGGTTTCTGGAGTCGACATCTTTGACTGTTCTTCTTTGACCAGAATCGAGGCTGACAAGACACTTTCCTGCTTCACGAACGTCTTGAAATCTAGACTTGACGATTCCTGAAGGCTCGTCTCTCTTTACTCATGCAATTGTCGACGCTCCCTCCATCAACAGGCAACATGGATCAAACTCCAGATCATGGCGGCTTGCACTACATCGAGCTCATCAAATGTAAGCCTCAAACCTCCTTCCATCCAACCACCACCCCCCTCTCCCATCTAACACGACACTCGCTAACACCTCCCTCATAACAGCCAACCTCCAGTTCATCCACGGCAGAGACTGCATATTCGACGTCCTCTCCCAAGTCAACGCCCCCGACAACTGGCAAGTCAGCGTCTGCAAGACGGACATCTTCACCCCCCGAACCGTCATCCTCTTCGACTCGGGCCCCAGCCTCATCGAGGTGCTGTCCAAGCTGCACCGCCGCTCGGCCGAGGCGCTGGCCGACTTCCTAGGCGAAAACGCCCCCGATGCGAGCGCGCACGTGAAGCGCAGCAAGGTCGAGGCGCCGGCCCCGTCGTCGCAGAAGAAGAAGAATGAGCTGCCGAAGAAGGCAGTCGAGAGGTCCAGGAACGGAGTCGAGGGGCCGCCGCTTGCTGACGACGAGATGAACGAGATCCATCCCGTTGCTGCGGCGACTTCGCCGGGGACGGAGAATCTGCGCTTGGGGGCGATGAGCCCGCCTTTGGTGACGAAGCCCAGGCGGGGAGATGCCGCGCCGTGTCGCTTCAGGGGCTGGAGGTCGCCGAGTCCGCCCCGTGAGGAGGATTTCGAGCCTGTGTCGCGGTATGAGGATAGTAGTCTCCGTCCTAAGGGCTTCATCTGCCCCAATTATGGACCGGCGAGCGCCTTTTACCGCGTGCCTGAGGGTCGGGATGAGCTTTCGTATTTGCGGAATGGGATGATGGCCAAGGCTCTGGAGTCCAGGGCCGAGGTGAGCAAGCCTGAGGCTGGAGGCTCGGTTTCTCCTCTGGCTGCTTCCATCTCTACTGCCACTGCCCTGGCTCAATCTCAGCCTCAGTCTTCTCAGAGCCAAGAGGTCAAGCCCGTCGACAAGAGCAGCGTCCTGCTGTACATCTCCTGGCCCTCGTACGGCTCCACCATCGTCGCGGACCAGTGCGAGCTCAGCGTGCGCTCGCTCCAGGGCCGCGTGCGCCACATGCTGCGCTCCAACGGCCCGGCGCTCTTTGGCGATGCCCTCCTCGGCGCGGAGCCGCCGGTCGTGTTTGGGCCGGAGGAGGTGGCTTCGTTTGCGGTGCTGGTCAAGGGGTTAAGGGTGAATGGGCAGGTGGTCATGCTGGGGCCGGCGTTTGGGGACGATCTTGAGCAGGTTGTCGAGGGGAAGAAGGTTGAGGGGGCGATTCGGGTTGAGGTTGAGCTGTTGTGGAAGGGGAGGGATTTGCGTGCTGCTGCTAAATAGG